CCAAGGCAGGTGGATCACAAAGTCAGGAGGTCAAGACCATCCTGGCGAACAAGGTGAAACCCCATCTCTACTAAAAATACAAAAATTAGCTGGGTGTGGTGGTGGGCACCTGTAATCCCAGCTACTCGGGAGGCTGAGGCAGGAGAATCGTTTGAACCCAGGAGGTGGAGATTGCAGTGAGCCATGATCGTACCATTACACTCCAGCCTGGCAACAGAGCAAGACTCTGTCAAAAAAAAAAAAAAAGGAAAAGGAAAAAGAAAATGTGTGTTGGGGAGGGTCCTAGAATCTCTCTTCCTCTCTCTCTCCCTCTTCTTTTCCCTCTTAACTGCTCTTAGGAATTTTGGGGAGCATAGTTTGAAAACCACATCTGTGGACCATGGGGAGTGACAAAATATTTTAAAGCAGGAAGTGAATTACATGAGGAGAACTGTGATGAGATAAGATTGTTAAGGAGGATGGATGGAAGAATAAAAAGGCTTGAATAATGGAAAAATGGTTAGGAGGTTATCATAACCTTGGAACCATCTGAAAGAAGCCTGACTTTAAGCAAAGACAATAGGGATAGAGAGAAGTGAATGGGTATGAAAGACATTTCTAAAGGTTGCATTAACAAAACCTGGTGGACTATTTATAGTAAGGGTGGGGAGAGGGGAAGATTGCTGGGTGAGGAAGAAGGGGGGAAAGATGATTATATGGTTTCTTACTTAACATTAGAAGCAACCAACTAGTATATGGGAAATCTCTAGTCTAATTTCTAATAGCCACTTTATTTTCTTTGAGTTTTCATTAGCTCAGATAAAACCAACATGTTATCACTCATGCCTAGAACAATTGTCCTTCATCTTTCTTCATCTAATACTTGACTTTGCTAGTAAAACCCTTTTTGTTGTCATTGTTGTATTGGCTACAACTGTATTTGTCTCTCATTAGCAGGGTAGTGGATAGCAATTTTCTTTTTTTTACTAAGAGAGTCCTCAGCTTACTCACAGGATATGTTCCAAAGGCACATTTTTAAGTTAATTATTTGGACCTCAGAGTGCATTTTCCCATAGAAGTGGCATTATACATAGTGATTAGGTTCCCAGGCCAGTCCACAAAAGCCAGTTTAGCCCATATATAACTGAAAGTGTGGATTTTTGCAATGGAAATTAGTTTGAAATAATACTGTTGCAATTAAAATGAAAACAATAGTTGCAAAAGAAATAGTTTGGGTTTTTGTTTCCCTCAAAGGGTAGGGCTTGATGAAAAGCAGGTTTAATCCTAGGAAGACAAAGAGAAATAGATGGGGATTTTTTTGTAAATTGGACACTGCAGCTTTTTAACTGTATTTCTAAATAATGTTTTGGAGTTTTTAAAATAATAAAAGCAACTGTGTTCATTGTAGAAAATTTGGAAAATTAAAAAATGTATTTCAAAAATTAAGTCACCAACAATCCTACCATCCAGAGAGGACCAGTGTTCACAAATTGGTGTATTTCAGCCTTTTTCTTACTGCATGCATTTTTAAATCAGTTCACCAATAGTAATTATGGTGCATCGACATGATGAACTATTATGCAGCTCTTAAAATGATATTTATGAAGAATTTTTAAAACATCAAAAAATATTTATGATATATTGTTGAGCAAACGGCAGCCTTGCATTTGATACCTTGTTTAGGGATGAGGGAGTATAAGCAGAAGATCAACACTTAATCAACCGGGGCAGGAGTCTGCTGTTAGACCACCAATCAAAACCTCCTACCCACCCCCTAACAAACCCACCCCCTATCAGACCCACCCCCTAACAAAAACTACAGCCAGACCTTTTTGTCGAAGTTCTGAGGAGGACATAACGGTTCTTTGAAGTACTGTAGAGGTTCGTAGCACTGGCTCTTCATTACTTCAGATTTTCCTTCAAATTACAGGGCTTTCTTCTCCCTTGATGTACTATTTCACTAGCACTACTCAGGCATAACGACTATGATTAAGGTCATTTTTTTGGATTCATAAATGGAATGGAAAAAGGGCCAAGTATTTCCTTAGGTAATTATGCATAGATTGAAGAGAGATGAGAAGGACTCGGGTAGAGAAGATGTGTATGTACTTTTAAGGAAGAAAATTATGTGGAATAGAATGTATTAAGCTAAGAATGGTGAAAGTAAAGTGAGAAAATGAGACAGTATAGCATGAATACAGATCTACAGAGAGTGAAAACGAATCTGGGAAAGGAAGAAAGAGACGTGCTTGCTTAGGTCTGGGCTTGGCTACAGAGCAAGCAAAAAAGCAAGAACAGTGACTTTGGGGAAGTTGTAGCCAGCTGAAATAAAAGAGTTTTAGGAGGAGGCAGGGAATGCAATTTGTAGCAACTGATTTTCTTTTAATAAAGGAATAAAGATGTTTGAGAGGACAGGTGCTTCAAGCACTAATCATCCAAGAACAAAAAGTTTGAACTTAATTGACTATATCTGCTATGATTGTGCACTATTCGATTTTAGCCCAATCAGTGATTTTCTAAAAGCATCCCATCTCCTTTTAGTCAAAACTGGATTTGTCACTGACTTGTATTTTGGCATGGGAGTCCTAATAGCTGCCACCTGCATTTCCTGTTCATCAGTGGAGGTATTGAAAATTACAAAGGGATGAGAGTTGGGGGAAAGGAAGATGTACATTTCGTAGGGGTGAGGGATGTATTCACATATGGGTTTTTTAGTACTAGGAGGAAAAGCCAAAAGTTTCCATGCACTGTAGAGAAGCACATGGCATTGTAGTTCTCACACATTGCTATGCAAGACAATCTCCTATGGAATTCTGTGGCTCTTACGTTTGGTGTACATATGATGCGGAGATTCTAAGTTATTATGTGTGAAGTGGGCTCCAGGTTCTCAGCCAGGGATTCTCATTGTTGGCTGTAAATTGGAATCACCTGGAGAGCTTAAAAATATTGGCGCCTAGGTTCTGTTCCCAGAGGTTTTTACTTAATTTTTCTGGGAGTGAGAACTGAGCATGGGGATTTTCTAACTCTCCCCAAGTGATTCTAATGTGCAGACAAGTCTGGGACCCTCTAGTTTAGCCCATTGCTTAATTACTTGGGTGGATTAAACCAGTTGTTCTTAAAGTGTTGTCCTGGAACCAGCAGCTTCAACATGAACAGGACACTAATACGAACGCAAATTCTTGGGCCCCTGCCCATATTTACTGAAACTCTTGGGGTGGCTCAGAAACCTGTGTTTTAACAAACCCTCTGGATGATTCTGATGCATGCTGTAAAGTTGGCAGTCACTAGATTAAACGGTTGTTCCTGACCCTTTCTAAAGTACATCTGTAGGAGTTACTAAAAAGAAGAGATGTCTTCAAGAGCTGATGAAAACTGGCCTGCAAAAGGACTTTTATAGAAATACCTATAATAATAATAACAGAAGCTAGAGTAGAGAAAGGAGAAAGGGGATGATAATTTGCTGCAAAACCCAGGCAAGTTCAGGAGGGAACATGTTTTCATAAGAGTTAGGGGGTTTGTTGCATGGGCTGGTAAAACCCTGGCAGTTCCTGCAGGCAAACTCCTACTTATTCTTCAATACCCTTTTAAAATGTTAGCCTCTTCCGTGAAGCTTTCTCTGAGCTCTGGTGTGAACTACTTCATCCTTGTATTTACTTAGTGCTTTCTAGTTTCCTCAATTAGCTCTTGGTCCGCTGTACAGTCGCGCTCTATATATGTCTCTCTCCCTCACTAAATTGCGTGATTCTTCAAAGCAAGATCACTGTCTTATTCATCCTTAGCTCTCCAGTGTCTAATAAACTATCTGGTACATACTAAATGCTCTTGAATTGTTTGCTGAGAGGAGGCATCAGTAATGGCCAGCTTTCTTGTATCAAGAACCTTCAGCTGGGCGCAGTGGCTCGCACCTGTAATCCCAGCACTTTGGGAGACCAAGGTGGGTGGATTATTTAAGTTCAGGAGTTCAAGACCAGCCTTGTCAACATGCTGAAACCCCATCTCTACTAACATGGTGATGCATGCCTGTAATCCCAGCTACTGCAGAGGCTGAGGTGGGAGAATCACTTGAACCCAGGAGGTGGAGGTTGCAGTGAAGTGAGATCATGCCACTGCACTCCAGCCTGGGCAACAGAGCAAGACTCCGTCTCAAAAAAAAAAAAAAAAAAGATGGGTTTACCTTTGTGAATTAATCATAGTCCTGAGTTCAGCTCTCTGATTGGAAGACTAGAGACCTTGATTCTCTCAGGACATCATGACTTGACATCTCTTAGTGGTGGCCTTATACTACAAAGCTCTCAGAGAAATATACGATTATTAGCAACTTATTATTTTACCATAATTGTCAGGTGCCAAGACTACTATTGTCAATTTTTCTCATATTTCCTCTCATTGTAGGTGTACCTTCATGGGAAATCTAATTAAAATCAATAGGGATACAGCTGCCACAGGGTAAAAGTATTTGAGTTCTTGGGCCCCACAGCTTGCCTCTCTCATCCAGGCACTGGCATCTTCTGGTTCCTTGTACTTCCCTAATTCTGTAATGTACTCTCTTCATTCTACATCTATTCACAAACATTCTTCAAGCAAGATAAGCACTTAGTAAATCACAATTACCTTTCCATTGCACTTCCCCAAAGTTATACTCAGGTCAAAATGAATGAATGTATGTGTATTCTCCAAGTCTTTAGATAAATAGATTTACAGGCAATCCTTTGGTTTAATTTTCTAGGTACTTAATCACATATTCATTATATGTGGATTTTTTCTGGCTTAACTCTCGGAGGACAACAATATAACCTTATTTTTAAGTTTTTGGAGGTAGGACACTTTACTGTCACGTCAGTTACTGCCAATATTAATCATTTCTAAATGTTATAGAAGCTTTGGAAGATATGTGTCATTCTCTAAAGTGGAATTATTAAGACCCAGAATGTAAACCAGAAGAAACTGGATTTTTGCCTTCTGTGCCAACCCATGATTTTAATATGTATGTGCCGAATGGATTTTTCTATTTTTTTCTACAGGCATTGTATCTGATAGCCACTAATGGAACCCCAGAGCTCCAGAATCCTGAGAGACTGTCGGCTGTATTCCGTGACTTTTTAAATCGCTGTCTTGAGATGGATGTCGATAGGCGAGGATCTGCCAAGGAGCTTTTGCAGGTGAAAATAAAATAGGACAATTACAAAGAGAGGCATTATACTCAGCTTTTCCATCTCAATGTGTGACAGAGAGCTCTGTCAAGAGATGTCTAGAGTTAGGCTATTACCATTTTATTTTAGACCACAGGCACATAACTATAGGCATGCATCTAATACATGATTGATTGACATGTTGCCTTTCTTCTGAGAAGTTGGCAGTGTAATCCATAAATCTCTTTTGTTCTTCCTGGAGTCTTATTTTGCAAGGAAAAAAAAGCAATGTGACCCTCTGGTGTTGGTGTTTTGTTCTAAACTTTACTTGTGCCCCTGGATGTTGTATGCAGGTGTTCTTGGCCGGAGGTAATTCTCTACATAACTATGCAATTATTTCCATGGCATTTGCTACTCTAATGCTTTACTGGTCAAAGCCCCTTTGCTTGTGATGCCAATTGGCAGGCACCTGCTTGCCTGGGTGAGTACCATCCAGTGGTGAGTGCCTCTGTAACCATTTGTCCTTTTCATGGCTCTCAGGGATTAATATATATGATGAGAAATAATACTTACTATGTACCAAATTCTTTCAATAAATTATTTCATTTTTATAACAACTCTATAGGGTAGGCATTATTATCCCATTTTATAGATGTAAAAGTTGAGGCTCACAGCTCTTGAATGGCAGAGCTGGGATATGAGCCCTGAATTGTCTGACTTTCTACCATACATCACACACAAACCAATTTAGATAAAAATATGTCTTTATTTGATAAAGCAGTTCGTGCCCAGGATAATACACATAGCTTCACTGCTGGGGAGTGTTTCTCAGGGACATGTATGAAGACATTTAACATCTAAGAACAATGACTGCTATTTTTCTTTGTGATTTTGAACACATAAGCCAATTAAACAGAAGGGGCAACACTTGGTTATACAGCGCGTTAACCACAGATTGTCTGTTCTAGCCTACCCCCTGAAAGAAAAACCTGTTCCTGTTGTTTCTGAACTCCCTCCAGAGACAGAGCCACGCCCAGACAAAAAAATATCCCACCCTAACTCAGATCATACCTGGAATAGACCTTTTTGGAGAAACTGAAGAGACTACATCTTTTCTTTTCTGCTACCTGCAAGCATTTCACAGGTTATCATAAGGCCCTAAAATGTCAAATCTGGAATGGCCCTTTGTTAACCCTCTAATTAATCCAGCCTCAAATTACAGATGAAAGTCAACTTTTGAGTATATCACTTTTATATCTTTTTAGCCCTCCCACCACTCCACATACACATTCTGATACACATTCCTCTTATGTTTTCTTGTAAAGATAATTGAAGATGTAAGTTTTCTTCAACTGGCTATCCAGATAAATGTGACTGTCCAGCTAAATAGATCATTAAATCAATTATCTAGTTAATTCATTCCCCAACAATTCTTTTATATGAACCAGTCAGATAACTGATGCAAAACTGTATTTTGAGTCTAAATTGAATAGTTTATTGCATCTTTTCATTTTATACATGTAAGCAACAGCCTGTATTTCTCTTTGAGTCCATGCAACTCCATTCTCTGACTCTAGCCTATTATTGCCATTTCCAAGATTAGAAAGGCGAGAGATGCATGACATTCACCCCACTGGAAGGCTGGAGAAAAGACACAGGTCTTGAATATTTGTGTGTCTTTCTGTATGACCTAAGACAATTCTCTGTCCATCAATTGATATTTATTGAGCAACTTCCATTTGTAAAGCATAAGTGCAGTATACAAACCTATTAAAAGGCATGATTCCTCCATTTAAGACGTTCACAACCTTCTTGGGTACATGAAAATATAATGCAAAGCTGTTTAGAGACTCATTCAACCCAAAGAACTGTTCAAATAGTAAATGACATGATTGATTAGAGAAATACTTCCGTAAGCTAGGGGTGATCAGAAAATGTCTGCAAACAGGAAAGAGGTCTGCTGGGCCTTGAAGAAGTGATCAGTTTTAGATAAGTTGAAGAAAATAAGGGAAGGGATTTCAAATGGAAGGAAGTATTAGGGTTTAACCAAAGACATACGGGCAAGGTCTATAGGAACAGAACCTAGAAAGTGTGGCTGAAATAAAGAGTTCAAGTAAAGAAGCTGCAGGAGATAATCCTGTGGTGGGCCTTGAACACCAGGCTTAAGAGTTGGGGCTGCAGGCAGTGGGGAAACACTGAAGATGTCTGAGGGACAGCATGATGACAACTTTGTTTAGGAAGATTAATCTGGTAGTATGTGGTAAGAATTAGCAACAAGAAAAAAATGGAGACAGGGAGACCAAGGAGGAGTTATGGTTTGGGATTAAGATGATTAGGACTGAATTAGAAAAAGCAAGAGATGGCCAGACGTGATTGCTCATGCCTATAATCCTAACACTTTGGAAGGCCGAGGCAGGTGGATCACCTGAGGTCAGGAGTTCGAGACCAGCCTGATCAACATGGTGAAACACTGTTTCTACTAAAAATACAAAAATTAGCCAGGTGTGGTGGCATGCGTCTGTGATCCTAGCTACTCAGGAGGCTGAGGCAGGAGAATCACTTGAACCTGGGAGGCGGAGGTTGCAGTGAGCTGAGACATGCCACTGCACTCCAGCCTGGGCAACAGAGCGAGACTCCATCTCAAAAACAATAATAATAATAAGCAAGAGATAAATGTAAGAGACGTTGAGAAGAGAGTACCCGGTAGCTTATTGCATTTAGAACATAAGAGGAAGACAAAAGTGACTTCAGGCTATCAAGTCAATGGCAGCATTCAGCAAGAAGCAAGTGATGGAAGACAGTATAATAGCTAACATTTCTTGACCCTATGTAACTTACAAGGGACTGCCACTTACCTCACTTAACCATTTTAATAAACAGAGATGAGGATTTAACCTAAGTGCTCTGACTCCAAAGCCCCTGTAGCTTACATTACACAAGATTGCCCTGCTTGTGAGACTGTAACATAACTTTTTAAATGTTGAATTTAAGGTGACGGAAGAACATCCCATAGGAAATATCCAGCAGGAAAACTAGGACCAGAGTTCAGGAAAGAGATCAGGTCACACACTATGGATTTAGGAGTCATCTCCATAAAGCTGATGGTGGGTTGAAACCATGAAAGAGAATGAGATCTGTAAGAAATTAAATTAAAAAAAAGAAGAGATGGCAGCCAAGTTCTCATGAGTAGGAGGTAGGAGGAGGAAGTGAAACCAGGGAAGAAAATGGAGCTGGAATATTCAGTGCACATGCGCATGGAAGAGACCAAATATGGTAGAATGTCACATGCTTCTAAGGCAAAAAATTAAAAAATAAAATTCAAAGAAGGAAGGGATATTCACTTTTATTAAGTACTGCAGAGGGGCCAAAAGAGAAATGGTAGAGGCACGGCTGTTGAGTTTAGCAGTTAGTAAGCCACTGGTTTCTGTATAAAGTTGTTTAGTAGTTAACTAAATACACTTTTTCCAAGCATGACAGCTTCTCTAGATAAATTTTTCAGTTTAGGAAAATCAGAGAGTCAGACTGTTGCAAACACAGTAAGATTTTATAAGATCCCTCAGAGTTTCTCACTCTGCCAGTCAGCTTCCAGAGGATTTCATGACATTGAAGTACAAAAACATCTGAAGGACAAAAGCTGGCACCGTTTTTAATTAAATGATATTTAATTGAGTATTCAAAATATATCTTAATTAAAAAGGGCTGCTTGAAAATGTAAAGTAGTGTACTTGTTGGAGGAAAGAATTCCAATAATTCCTCTTTTTCCTTCCTTTTACAGCATCCATTTTTAAAATTAGCCAAGCCTCTCTCCAGCCTGACTCCTCTGATTATCGCTGCAAAGGAAGCGATTAAAAACAGCAGCCGCTAAGACTGCAAGCCTTACACCTCACCATCTCCCTCATGAGTAAGACTGAAATAAAACTCTGCTGCAGGAAAGATGGAAGAAAAGACAGTCAAATGGGGTGGGGGTTCTTTACCTTTCAAATGAATAGAAACTTCTTATAAGCCTTTTTCCTACTCCCTCAGATTATGTAATTTATTTGTAAGCCTGAATCGCAGCCCAAACAGGGCAGCAATGTTGAAGTGACCATAAAGTGGTCACTTCCACCGTGAAGCGAAAGAGCCAGTAGTGAATCCCCTCATTTTGTGCACTCACTTTGAAGAAAAAGGTTTCTCAAAGATGCACACTCCCTCTTCATAGTGTTGTGTTTGTTTTTAAGTTAGAGAGTAGTCCCTCTTGCATTCAAACCTCCTTCAAAACTCCTTACCCAATGTGATGTTTTTCACTTGCATTGTCATTAGATGTCCAGAAAAAAAAAAAAAGATGTCAAAATGTTTTTCTAAAAAAAAGAAAGCAAAAAAAGCAAGGCAAAAAAACAAAAACAAAAACAAAACAAAAATAAACAAACAAAAAAAAAATACCAGAGCAAGTACTGTGTGAACATGTGGAAGTCCATGCCCTAATAGAGTTGCAATTTTTTATTCTTCTTCTATAGTGGTGGCTTGGTTTGTGTACCTATTTTTCTGCATTTGTATTGGAAAAGGTTTCTTTTAAAACATTTTCCAAAAGTGGAGAGGAATATGTGTGTTCAGGAAGGGCTTTTTAAAAAGTGTATATCTAAATAAAGCTCAAATGGTGAAATCCTGTCACATTTTCACAATGATGCTTAAAAGATAGTTGAGTAAACCAGGTTGTTAATCTCCTTAATACCTGAAAGAGGACACACTGAAACTGTGACACCCTGCTAGGTGAGTTCTGGTTCTGAACCTAAGAAATCCTCATAGGAGAAACCACATTTAAACAAAGATGGGACTTTCTCTGAGAGCCAAAACCAGATAAATGTAGAATACTGACATCCTTGTCTGATATTAAGTAAACAAAGATAATGATACCTAAATTAATCCTCTCTTGTGCTTATGAAACATATGCACTGTAAAATAGGCATACCAGGAGGAAATAGATTCATTAACCATCATTTACTTATGATACAAATTATTTATTTTGACAATTTATAATGTTTAAAAAAGTTTTTTAAAGATCTGGAGAAAGGTGATATAATAAACAGTCAACTCTGCAGGAAGTGGGAGGTCAGTGAAGGCTACATCCCAATCAATATTTGGCTCTAAGTACTTGTTCCCATTTTCCCTATGTATCACCTATTTCTGTTTCGGAATATGGTGTGTTCATACTTAGTCCTTTGGGCTTTTGAATATCAAAAGCATATTCATAAAAGTCTTGGAATTCTCTCCAGTAGAAAATAATTTTAACTTACAATAATATCCCAAGAAATGTTAGTCCAACAGAATTCCTTATATGGCTTGGGGAAAATAACAAAATTTGACTATTATTTCACCATATATCTATTTATTAAAAATTCAACAGTTGGCACTTTCTGAATCTTCTGAGAGTAGAAAAGTATCTGGAGGGTGTCTGTATAGAAAAGGATATGCCTCTCTTTTGAGCGTACTGACAATTTTGTAAATTGTTTCTCTAAGCCTTTGAAAAACTAACAATTTGTGTTATAGAAGGCTTCTTAATTTGTAGTATACAAAGAATCTAAACAGAACCTATGTACATTCAGCAAGAAGGGGAAAGAGATCAGTTACATAGACCTCTCTCCTTCTTTGCCAAGGTACATCCATCCATCTAACCATCCATGTATCCACATCTTAAAATGAAAGCACTTTCTTTCGAGTTTCAGCAAACTATATAGTGTACGTGTTTATGTTTAGGAGATGACCCCACTGGTGTATTTCCTGTTTTCCCTATTGTTTTCTTTGACTGTAAAATTTGGGAGAGACTTGACCTCCTCCCCTTGAAAAAGACCACAGTGGGATAAAACAATAATTGTGAAAAGAAAATGAAGTGGTAATATTAATTTGAAGCATACTATGTTATACTTTGCAAAAAGGAATCTGGGCTTGTAATTTTAATGCCACACTGCTCTAATGAGAGAGAGAGGCCTTAATTTTGATTTCATTTAAAAATAAGGACTTAAAAAAATTTTCACTCATAGTGCTGGGAAATTCAATGAAATCCTGGGATGCAAATAAAAATCAGTACATTGGTACATTGGTGACTGTGTCCTGCCAGTGGAGAGAGCCCAAAACCTGGTTAGGAAGCCCTATTCATCAGTTAGCATCCCTTACATGTTGAGAAGGCCTTTTTTGTTGTTATTTTGGAGACCTTGGAGCAGTGACCCTTCAGATCACTGTAGGCAGAGAAATGGCTTCTCTCTTACGCTTTCAGTTCAGCATATTAACAACGAGGAGCCAGGTACTTCTTTCCTACCACTTTGTACCAAGATTTGATAATAATATATCCCAGGAGGGATTACTTTTATAAATGTGTATTTATGTAAATTTTCAAATGAGAACAGCTTCTAAAGCCCCTTCCCTGTATTGTAGAGTTATGTATATTTCTAATAAGTATTAGAAAGAAGCTGTTTCTCGTGCCACAATGATGCTGAAGGATTCACATTTGGTACAATTGAGCAACTTGAACTCCAGATTGTTAACAGTTTATTCTCTTTCCCTGGATTGTTTTTAGCTCATCTTGACACAGGTGAGTCTATCCAAATCTTTAATGTTGGTAGTGTGCCCTGAGATAACGAGGGCACATCCTTCAATGTTGATTCCAAAATATCCTGAGATAGGAATAGGGCAGTGGGAAAGTCAGGGAAGGGTGAGAAGCACAGTAGAGATTATTTATTTAAAAAAGAAAAGAACGTTAATGTTGTTAGCAAGGATCCAGTGCGTTGTCATAATCCCATGAGGATTTTCAGATGACACAATCCCTCAGATCAGTCACCATGTTGGGTAATGACTTCGTTCTTGCTGATCTCGTGTGTGTGTCATTGTAAATATTTGTGCGTCCATGTTCCATTTTGGCTACTGGATGGCCAACCCATGTAAGAAGATTTAACTCAAGTATTTATTCTTTATGTTACTCAGATTTCTTTCAGGCTTGTGAAGTGCACCCCAATGTTTGAGTTTAACCACCTGATCCTTACATCTATCCCTCCCCGGTGAAGCACATTCCATTGCTAAAAGAAAAAGAAATATGAAATTGCTTCCTGTTGTCTGTGTAACTGTTTTGATAGTTTGAGATGTTTGTCTATAAATGATATTTCTCAGCTCAAAGATCGTGTAAATAATTATATTCCTTTGCTCAATGGGTTGTTTATTTCTAATGAGGCTGCCAGTTATGAGAGATTCTATAATATCACTTTTAAATAACATAAACAGGGATTACAACTACATAAAAAGAAATGCATATGGGCAAAGACTGGAAACACAGATAATTGAAATCAGTTATATTAGGGTGGTGGAATTATGTGAATTTTTTTCTTTCTAAAATTTTATTTGATATTGTTATAATATTGCTTTATAATAAATAAACAGCAGAAGGGAAACTATAGACACATAGAAAAGATGCCAGAAGCAGATGCCTTCTGGCCAGAGCCCAGAGCATGCAGGGCACAGATATTTGCTAGTTACAATTATTCCATAGGCTTTATACTTGCCTGGGTGCTGAGGTTGGCACACGCTTGGGTATGGCACGTGCTTTCTTAGGAGACTATTATCTATAAGTTAAAGCTAGGGAGATGTCACTATTAGAACTCCAAACACACTCTTCTGCTTTAAAACAGGCTGTCTGCCCTGTGCTTTGGTATGGCATTCGGGTGTCTGTTTTGTGGTTGTTTTAGATTGGAGGGGTGACCATTATATTAGCCCCCTTGATAACATCTGTTGCAGATATTACCTTTCTGGAACATTTTGACAGACTCTCAGGTTGAATTTTGGAGGAATAGAAGGATAAAATCCCCAGCTCCCACCATGTTCTTGTCCAACAGGATTTTACTGTATATCACTCAGGTAGGGTTCTTCTTTTAATAACCAATAGGGCAAGTCCCACTAATTTCATTAGAAGTTATGACTTGTAATTAAAAACTGACTTTGAAATCATTAAACAAATATTTAGGACTGTCTGCCTCTTGGCGTTCAGTTACAGTTCTATTAATTTTGACTTGGGATGGTCTCCATGTGCTTTTTTTTTTTTTTGCCTATTTATAGGTTGTATACAGTAGTTGTGATTTTTAAAGAGTAAGGGAGACCATCTAACCAAAGGAGAAGAATTTCCTTCTAACTCATCAAAGAAATTTTAGGTGAGAACTTTGATAATGAGGTAGTCACCTCAGATATGTTGCTTAGTTTCACTGAAAGCAGACCCTATACCTAGAGAACTCACTGGCTTTTTACTGGTTGTTCTCAATACAAAAATACTTAGGGGAGTCTTAACCCTGCCATCCCCAGTTGAATCTCTTGGTCTTTATCTAAGCTACTTGCAGTTAATATTCAGTTAAACGAAGGTATGACCAGTAGTGCAAGTATCTCCCAGTCTCTGAGCTCTGAACAAGAGGACTGAAATTCAGCATTTGTAAACTGACAGTTTGATGGGCCTGGGATTTGAAGTGAACTCAGCATACAATTCTGAACATATATTTGCATGTGGACTGGGAAGGAAATAAATGGGAACTTGGAAATAATGGAAATATTTCTCCTATGAAAGAATTTTTCATAAAAGATTTGTTTTTGATATAGTCTTTCTGTTGGTTAGCTTTTAGTTTTTTCATTCCTTTTCTGATCCACACTCCTTTAAGTGACCAAATGAATATAACCCAACATGCATTGGGAATGTGTTTAATATTAAACACTGTCTAACTGAATCTGCAAATGCAGGAACTGAGATATCACCTCCATGTGTACACCTGTGTGTACAAGTATTCTTTTTTTTTTTTTTTTTTTTTTTGAGACTTGTAGCATTTACTGCCACTTAATTGGGTTGAACTTGCAAGATAAACTTTTAGAAACTGCTTAGTGCCATCGGAGTCTCCTTTAGAAGCTGCCATCAGGCAAATGCTATCCCATAATACCAGCAGTAAGGCAGGCACAATGTTCAACAGATTTAGTACCCAAGAGTCATATGTAGTGGAATAAATACTAGCCTAGGAAGAAGGAGCCCTGGAGTCTAATATGAGCTTTATTACTAAATTGCCATGTGACCTTCGACAAGTCACTTAACCTCTCCATGGCTGTTTCCTTATCTGTAAAATAAGTGTATTGGACTAGATAATCCTTAGGGTCTTTCCAAAAGTCTAACATTCTATGGCATTGTAGGTTGCCTTGAAAATTCAGCCTGCTATAGTGATGGCAAATATCACATGTTTAAGCCTGAGTCTCTTATGTTGCAGTTAGATAAAAAAAGTATGTAAAATGATTTTTAAAATTCAAGCAAATGGGCTGGGTGCGATGGCTCACACCTGTAATCCCAGCACTTTGGGAGGCCAAGGCAGGTGGATAACCTGAGGCCAGGAGTTTGAGACCAGCCTGACCAACATAGAGACACCCCATCTCTACTAAAAATACAAAATTAGCTGGGTGTGGTGGCGGGCGCCTGTTATCCCAGCTACTCGGGAGGCTGAGGTGGGAGAATCGCTTGAACCTGGGAGGTGGAGGTTGCAGTGAGCTGAGATCATGCCATTGCACTCCAGCCTGGGCAACAAGAGTGAAACTCCGTCTCAACAACAACAACAAAATAAATCAAGCAAATGAAGTTCATAATAATAGGGGATGTTGATAAAATTTGTGGCAGTCTTCCAATTCGTTTACAGTTGTTTCATTTTGTTTTTGTTCTAATGTCCATTTTCTGTTGACTGTTCCCAGTTTTCATTTTCCATACAGTCTGTATGTAAAGTCTGGTTTTCCTTAAGCTGTGACCAGTATTTGCTGCTAAAACAGAAACACACTGTCACACTTGCTAGAATATAACTGTGCTTGGGCTTCTCCTTTCCTGTGAAGTAGTGCTGGGCTTTCTAGAGTTCAATTCTCAAGTGGCACAAGATAGCAGAGCCCATGCATTTTAATGGCTGAGACTATTAAGAGTGAACCTCAACACTTACAAGTTGCAGAGAGAAATGAAAAAGTAATTACATGCTATTAGCATTCAGAAGTGTTGACAAATTCATTTGTTGGGAACCAAAGATAGCATTTCTGATGACAACTCCCACAGTGATTGGCCAGTTGTATGATGAGTACACTGCTGGAAAGAGGGTAAACTGGGAGTTAGTTAGTGGATGGTCCCAATTCCCTGCCTACAGCAGAGTGCCAACCAGCCCTGAGTGCAAAATTCGAGTTCAATGTGTGTTCTTGTGTGTGGTGTGCTTTATGGACCCGCAAATACTATATTCATTATTGATGATAAGATCTTCACAGAATCCTGTAACTACTAATGCATTGAGTTTTTAATCTCAGTACATCAGCCAAGAGGAACCAGATCACAGGGTAGTGATGTCTACTGGGATGATACTCATAACATCTACACAAAACAAGTTGAGAAGGATCCACATTTTCATTGTTTATCAGAATTGTATCTCAATTGGCTGAGCATTACTTTTGTCAAAATGTGTTATCTGTAAACCATGTGTAGTGAAATTCTTCTGTAACTTTGGATTAAAGGTATTTATGGTCTTTTTGTTTGTTTGATTTTTAAGTAAGTTATTTCTTTTGTCGACCTGCTGATGGTATGGTTCCATCCTTCTGACCTCAGCATCCAATCTTTTTAAGGATTTTTGTTTTCAATATTGTTATTTTAAATTGTGGTTGAAGCAATAGAAAATTGAAATATGGATTGTGCATGACTGTGTCTTGAGTGTAAAAATATTGCAGTTTGAAACTTGGACCTAAAGTATTGCAAATAAAAATGACAAACATCAATGAGCTATTGCTTCTGTCACCTTCCCATCCACCCCTTGGCATTGACCATTTTACCTACTTCACAGGTTAGAGGGTATCACTGTCTCATAGGTCTGGAGTCACGGAAATGCCCAGCCTTGTAAGCAATACAGGAAATGCTCTGCAAATTCTGCTACTAAATAACTCAGACCCAGAGTCTCTCTCTATCTGATGTTTACATGGAGTAGCTCAGAGAGGCGAATGTGTATACTCATTGCAGGTCAAAAGCCTTGCAAATCACGAATGTAGATGAAGGAGAACCACCAAAAGAAATCACATGTCGTAAATACTTTGTTTTTGATCATCTTTCTGCTTGGAAAATCCTGAACATGCAAAACCATCTGCACAATGTTTAGTTTTGTCTTATATCTGATACCAAAGTCCAGAGGTCATAGGAGGCATTTCAACCAAAATTACTGAAAACCTTCATTCACTAATTTGCTCATACATTTGAAAATCATTTATCGAGCTCCTGCTACATGTCAGACACTGTAGATATTTGTATTAAAGGTAACTTTTATTCAAAAAAATCACCTGTAAATGTGACTAAATGACAGTAAAGCTTGTTAAAAGCTGCTAGACGCACCTGTTGGAGCCAGGTTTGTCAGAGGTTCTCTTGAGTCCTCAAGACTCAAGGACACCAGCAATTTGGTAAACTGGAGGTTTGTTCCACTAGTATTACTTGTACAGTGGGCATAGTACTCCTTCTAGAGAATGTGTATATAATATTGTACCTTTTTGTAAGTGCAAACACACTGGTACTATATTCCCTACAATTGCATTATGTGTGTTACCAAATATTATTTGGTGGTTTTCTAGTTCACTGTACTTACATGCAAGTTTTAATTTTCTCACTTAATCTCTCCATGATGAAAGCCAAAAAGACATTTTCTGTAAATATGAGCGGGCAAGTGAATGAGAATTCCAGCAACTAGGATTTAGCCAAGTTCTCTACTGCCCATGTGCACAGTTACTGCACTGCCTCTCCTACTAACAAGCTCCTGCTAGCAAGCTAACAAGCCTCACACCCTTCCAGCCTTTCTTGCCAGGATTTGCTGCAAGTATTTTCCTATTCCTATTAAATGAAGCAGAAAAACTATGAGTTAGCAAATTACCAATATCGTCCATCACAAAATAAAATTTGAAGCCATTTTCCTTTGTCACAATGACTTGGAGGAGCAGGGCCCAAACAATGATAAATATATTATTCCACAGCTCAGCCTTATAAGCATGATTGCTGGAACTCTAGCCTTATCCAAGTTCCTTACCTCCTACTGAAATGAGGAGGGGCTAATACCTGAAGTACCCCACAGGTTTTAGTTGTTCTCCACATCCCATGAGGTCTTTGCCCCCAGGCACTTGAGTGGCATCTGCTGACTTCCCACACACCTGTGTCAAGCACCACTATTACCACTACCCTCTGCTAATCCTGTACCAGTGTCACTGTCCGATTGCTCCTGTGCTTGCCATTCTACTTACCTGTATCTGCAATATACACAGCAGTCCCTGATGCTGACAGATCTCTGGGATGACTCAACCACTTTGCAATTTTACAGCTGATTACTTTTTATTTGTTTTCCATAGCTGATGGCAGAAACCCTTCCCATGGAATCAAATTATTTCGCTATATCTTTGGACCCATTTTGATGTTCTTTTTCAGTTTTTGGCACCTCACTGAACCAGGGAGCAAGTTTGGTCTTGGTTTTTCCCCTCTCCCTTACTGGGGCTTGTCAGGTCAACTTTTGCATATTACAGGCCTGCTGCCTACCATAGAGGTTAAGCCTTTGCTATAGTTATTCCTTCATACACATTTATACATGTTCTCTCAAGCGGCCAACCTTGGGGTAAAAAGGAAATTGGCAATGTGGCCCTATTATACATGTACTTTAGTATTTTACCCGGAGAACCCTTGTCCTATTTCCTAGAGATAGACATTTCTGCCAAGTAAGAAGCAAGGCTATATTACCATTGAGGGTAAACAGGTAAAAGGTACACAGGATCTCTCTTCATTCTTACAATTACATGTGATATACAATTATCTCAACAATATTTGCAATAAGAAAAGCAATGAACTGCATGGCATCTTTGTTTATGACATTTCAGAGGTCATGGTAATGAGATAGGATGGGTATCATGGCCCAGCCCACTTCTACCTCCAACTACCTATTACTTTGCTATCAAGAAGTTTCTCACAAAATTAATTCCACCTGTCACCAGTCCCACCCACCTTAGATAGTAGGACGTCCCACTTTCTCTACAGCCACTTGTGATTCCTCCCTGGGGATGCAGGGAATTCAAATATCATTTCTTATGAGTTCTTCCCTGTGGACATGAATTGACTGGCTTCTCAGCCAACAGTATTGCAGGAGAATAAAATTCATAATGAGAAATATCTTTTAATTTTATAATATGTAAAGCCAAATTGCTTTGCTTTACAAAATGGGAGGGCTATGCCATGTTCTAATGTTATAAATTAAGACTCTTTACATTGTATACTGAAACCCTGCAGTAAGAATAAATAAATAGCCCCACTAGGTTTTCATTCTAAACTCTCTTGAACAGACATTAGCAAATGGAGTTAAAATTCCTTTTATATTTAAATATATGTAGCTGACATAATTCGGGTATTTTAAAATTTTGTAAATAAGATAGTTACTCCTCTAGAATTCAAGTAGAAAACGGGGATTATCAAACTATTTCCCATAATGAAGATCTTAATCTCTGCTGCTATTGGTCCATTACCACCTTCAGCAGTGATTTTTGTTTTGATTGTGGAAGCATTGTGCTTGGTAGACTGTTTTTCACTTTACTCAGAAGTGCATATTTTGTAACCTGCTTTCAAGATATGTCTATCATAAGGTTTGACTGTAGAAAAGACAATAATGTTCCCAGTTGGTAATTTAGAGTATTCTAACTCCTCTGGATAAACATTATCTGGATTCCATGTGGTCTCATCAATCTCACCAACACCAACACATCTAACATCAAAATGTTATAAATAATTCATTGTGTGAAGGATCATATTACCAAGTCCTGAATGATAAAGGTTTTCTCCCCCACATTGAGAGAAAATACCAAAATATTCATGCAAGAAGCAGCATTTATGAACTTTTCAAATCCATGCAGGATAACTCTCCAATGGCGAAGTTGCATGGATGCCACTTGGACTGATCTGTTAACCAATGATGTAGGCATGTGGATTAATATCAGAATAGCCTATAATATCAGGATAAGTATCTGTAATCTAGAACATTCCTTTCATCAGTGCTCATATGAGGAGCAAAGCCATCAATTTCAGGATCAATGAAACCCTTTTTCGTTAGCTCCGTGGTGAACTCCTTGATCTTAACTCATTGACTGTATAATTTTGAGCACTATGAACACCAAACTTAGCCCCTCCTTTAAATGGTATATCAACTAAAGCATTTCGTATGTTATTAAATAAATGAAAGCCTTAATATCATTTTCACTAACATCTGTACCATAAGGGGTGCAGTGTTAGTTGTGCTGGGCCAGTGTACCCTCTATGACCATCTAGGAGTCACTGTTCCTCTGATGGGAAAAGTAAGGCCCAGCACATAGTTGTAGGCTTAATGATTCATAAAATGCCATGTACTCAATTGAGCTCACCTCACTTTCTCAGATCTTCAGGTTTTCCACCAGCTTTTCTCCAACCATCATGGCATCACAGTTGAAGAAGCCACTCACCCCACCCTGTAATAAATGATTTCCAATCATATTGTCCTTCATCATTGTAATGGTGCCTTGTTACAGCTGAGGTGGTTCCCGCTGCTGCAGGAGCAAGGTCAAGTACAAATTTGGCTCCCCAGCCTCTAAGTGAGAATTAAAGGAATTCTGGAGGGGTGCTTACTTTGCTGGCAAACATATGGATGGTGGCCTGGTGACTTTTCTTGAATTTCCTATTGACTAGAGTATACACTGTGGCCCACTGTGATAGGGTCACCCATTTTTCTTCCTGCCCATAAACAGGGCAACCATTTTGGACTCCCCAGGGAGGCCCTCAATTATTCAGTGGAATTCAGCACCTCTCCATGCAGCTCCTGTCATCATACTCTAACAATGTAATAGTATTTATTCCATTCGAGGTTGTTGCAAAATGCCTTGGAAGCCAACCTGTATGTTTCCAGTAGTTTCCACATTGGTTTAGCTACATGTTTTATTAACTTCCTAAATCTCTACACCTCTTCTTCCTCCCTCATAGAGGAAGTCTCTGGTAAAAAAAAAAAAATGGGGTTTCCCACCAAAAATAAAATTAAGTGAGTAAAATTATTGTTCCCAGTAGGGTGGTAGCCCAGTACCAAAAATGCTCAATCCTGTTCCCCCACCACCTGTTTTGCTCTTGCTCCAATTTGACTCAATCACATGCTGTCAAGTCAATGGAATCGCTGAAATTATAGATCCCCTTTAGGCTAATATGGGACTAAGAGTTTAGATTTCAGAGTTAGAACTGCATTTTATGTCTCTCTAAGCATGAGTTTCCCCCATTTTAACAAGAGTATGAAAATACATCAGAGGTTGTGAAGAATAAAAAGTTAAAATATCATAATGCTTATCCTGCTATACAGTAGATACTCAATAAATGATAGCCATTATTATTATTCACCTTTTAAAAAGTCTTGGTCGATTGGAACACCTTCAGTAGTAACCATTGCCCCGAGTGAATTTTGGCCAGCAATCCAAATGCAGACAAGTGACTCTTCCACAGTAGTATATCCATTGTTAGACACTTTCTGTTCCTAAGCAAGACAAGCCGAGATGGACCCTGGTTGGTGCAATGTGTGGACATCATTAGTATGCACTCCAATTTTCTCCATCTATATCCAAAGGCAAGAAATCTTTGCTCACTAATACCAGTCTCTTGCTTGTGGGGATAGCATCCAGCTGTGCTTTCTGTATCGGCCAGGCCTTGTCCTATTTAAAGCAAGCCCATGCTTCACATTTGTATGTCAAGCCCTCATCCATCT